AAACTGCTCGTTCTTCTCGAAATTAGTGACAAATTGAAAAAAAAAATATTTCATTTTTCATTGAAGGTATAATAAACAATTTATTACCGAATTTGACCATTTTTGCAAGAATTATCAAAACAATAATGAAGTTGACCATTTTTGTAAATTCCCCTTTCAATAAATGCGTTGTGGACCAGTCTACACAGGCCACATTACAGGGCATGAAATTTTACAATTTATTAGTATTTACATTTTTCTTTTTCTTTTTCTTTTTTTTATAAAACATATAATAATTCTTTTTAGACTTTAATTCTAAGTCAAAGAATCGAGAAACTCGACACAACTTAGAGTGGGCCTTCTTTTCGCAACATCACTAATATGAAAACTATGTTCTAGTGATGACAAAAAAATTTGCCCCGTCCAGCCCCCAATGGGGAGAAAAAACCTACCCCTACGGGTTGGCAGGGTGGGGATCGCAACCCCGTCTCAGGTCTCGTGGCGGGGCGGGATGGAGATGCCCGTGAACTCGCCCCTTGAAGAATAAAAAATTGTTTCGGATATTGTTTGTTTCGAGTGCTTGCTTTAGATATTAATGTGTTAGTTTGAGCATTATTTGCTTTGAATTTTAAAATTTTGAGTTTGTATTTTAACTGAAAATTTTTGGAAAAAAAAAAAGGGCCGCCCCACTCCGCCCGTCTAAGGCACCACTTCGTTTTGGAGTTTCGGTTTGAACTTTTTAAGATTTGTTTGGTAAAGATTTTTTAGAACTTACTTTTCTTCATTTTTTTAATCACTTATTTTCTTAATAAAAAAATATTATACATAAACATATAATTTTTCTTTACTTTTTAATTATACATTCTTTAAATAAAAAAAAAACTTCGCAAAATCTACATCAAACGGATCATTTTTTTTTTCTATTTAGATAAAAAGAAAAATTAAAGGTTACGTAGCATGAATACTAACTGGATAAACGACATAGAGCATGTTTGGGCCTCATTATTTTCTAAGAATGTATTTTGGAATAGTAGATTGATAGATAATGTGTGGTTAAAAAATAAGGAAAAAATTTAAATTTTTGTGTAATATTATTTTATTGAAATATGTGTGTTTGAAAAGACAAAAGAGATAAATGTATTTTAAAAAAAGTTGAAATCAAACCACGGCATAATATTGCAGGTATCTTTAGGGATCATCACTAGCCCATCATTCCCATGGTCGAGGAATAATATTATCCTCTGTTTGGGTTCCATTGTTGTGAAAATGTATTCTCTTTTTTTATTTTTAATCACATTTTTTAATAAAATAATACAACACACGTAAACCTAAAATTTTATTTTATATTTTAATCACACGTTCTCTAAAAATTTTTTTTTTTTTCAAAATACATTTTTTCCCAAAATTTAGTGGCTCTTTGGTCTCCATTTTAATGTAATTTTGAGATAGAATTTATTTTAGAGTAGTGATTTTTTTTAAGAATGTAGGGTTAAAATATAAGAAAAAGTTTTGGGATCACATGTAATATTATTTTATGGAGAAATGTTTAATTGAAAATTAATTTTAAGAAAAATGTATTTTGAAAATAATGGAGCCCAAACAAGGGCATGTGGAATTTAGTATCAGTACATGAACTGTCTAGTTAAATTAGTAATGTATTCTTACATTTAATTGGACTTGTCACTTAAGGATAATATTATTCACTATTAGTTGTGATCATCTTTAATATAGGTAGAATTGGATCACTTGATTCATTGTTCAATACATTAAAATACATTACAATTTTATTGAACGATGATCAAGATTCCTCATCATTAAATGTCGCTACAATGCCACGTATACTTCTGTGTTTAGTGTAGTTCAACACTTGCTAGAAGTCAATGAAATCGATCCATTTGTGTGTTGTTTGCCTCGTTCTGCTATTGAGTTTATTTTGATTTTGTTTGTTTTAAGATCAACCTAAGGGTGACAAGAATAAAGGAATTAAGGATTGTCAAATATGGAGATTGGAAGAGTTGGTACATAAACGGAGGACTTGCGTCCTATTGTACCTTTTTCAAATTCTACTAATTCACCCACCATTACTTTATCAAGACCATGAATACGAGCAATGTCATTGCGACAATGACACCAATAATGAAAAATGAATTTCGTGCAACTTCTGACACTAAAACAACTTGTAGATGCTTGAAATCAATGACGTATATTTCAAGTTCGGAGAACACCCACATTGTTAACATCGAAGAGAAAAGTTGCACATGTAAGAGAATATCGTAGCTCACGATCTGACTTCCTACATTTGGTTGCAAAAAGTCTCTTTATTTTGGACGGATTGTTTGTCTGGTACTATATTGAGCAAATATTGATTAATGCACTTTGTTTCTCGTTATCAAAATGAGAAATATGTACTTTTAGGTAGCTTGGGACATGAATTATAACGTACATTATACCGTTGAAGATGGAAGATAGAAAATAAAAATATTAGCAAGTATTCAAATCCAAATTGTATGACCTAATATTCAACTTCAAGCACAGAGAATACTTTACATTACAAAAACATATAGTTACAGTTACATTAACACGATAAGCTTCATCGGTCAAGAATCCAACTCGTACGGAAGCGTGTCGACCAGCAAGGGCAACCTGCTCTGGAATAAAAAAGATTCATGCAATGGAATGGAATGCAGAACAGCTAAATAATTTGAGTTCAGTAACTCTAATCTATTGCCTTGAACAATGCAGAAGAATCCTTGAGATAATGCACGAACATTAGCTGCTCGGAAGCATGAGGTCATTTAGTGGGCTTAAACTATTTCAAGCTGGAATTTGCCTAGTCGCGAGCCAAAAGCGGGTTTTGAAACAAAATATATAAGCCCTCTCTTCAGAGAAAATTGTATTTGACAGTGATTTAAGCAGAATTAAAGAGAAATTTGCAGCTACCAAGGTGATGCAGAACTAGACGGAGAGGAAAACAGAGAGAAACAGAGAAGAGAATGTAGGACGAGAAAATTTCTAATCAATTGTCTAATGTAAATTAAAATCCTAGGTTCCATTTCTTAGATACAAACTTGTCAAAAAATTAGTAATCTAATCCAAGCTAAATAAACCCAAGTTAAATCGAACTGTATTTCTATCCTATTTTTCCAAAGTACATCTATAATTCCCAATCACGGGGACTCGCGCTTTCTCCATGTTTCCATTTATCAATTTCAAGTACGAAAAATGGGAAAAACTCGTCATCGCCAATGAAGGAAAACATCTAATTTTGGAAGATGGCCCCTACTGCAATCTGGCTTGCACTTTAACCAAACTTATAAAGAGAAAGGAAGAAAATGCATGCACTTGCTGATTCTTATATTCTCTGTCAACATCTTGAATATTAACATATTTTTGCAGTTGGGCAATTTTCTAATTTGAAAAGGAAACACTCCTAAATTTCTCCATGCACTAAGTTGGCAATCAAATGATTTCTCTTCAGCTTACGTACCTTCCAATTGTAATTGAACGAGAGCTGTCATGAACCTTCAATAAAGTTGCCTTCTCTTTCTCTGAGGTCCTGATCTACTTCCTAAAAGAAGTTTCAAATGGACATTGTAATAAATACTCGATATTAATAAGCATATCAATATTTTCCAATCAATTTTAGTAGAACTTTTGGCCAGTTTTTCCACAAAAATCAACCATTGTAAAACTTGATAAGATTGGGGAGAAACCTGTTCTACACGGATTTATATAAGAGAAAAAGATACTATTTAGTCATGTCACAAAATTATTCAGTTTCGAAATATTCAATGTACTCAGAATGACAAGGCATTTTTGTTAACCCATAATATTTGTGCTTGCTCTGCCTGGCCCAAGCATGAGGAAGAGTTATGAGGCGTAAAACAAAAAAAATACATGGACAGACCAGGAGCATACTACTCGTAATTATTCCATCATTCACAATGAATAATAAATAAAAAGCAAAAGACACTCCAAAGACTCCAGACAATATAAGATTAAGGAG